GGTTTGAAACGACATGAGGGTGAGTAATTAATGACAGAATTTTCATTTTTGGGTGAACTAACCCTTTAAACATAACTTTGTGCTCAGCCAAAACGATATGACCAGGAACAAATAATAGATTCATGAGACCACGAATGCCTGCTAAATATACCCAAAACGAATTGTAGCCTATCTCATGTTTAATCACTACAGAGCCATCAGAGCCAGCGGCAAATGTCGGAAGGACTAGCCGAGCTAAGGCTGCTCTAGGCAGATACATGAGCACTGAGCGCCCGGTGATCGCCTGGAGCTCCGAAATCGGCATAGCAAATTTTCAAATAGGCGCTACCTTTATAAATAAACCGCAGATTTGAGTTTTAAACAGCTACATTCTCGCCTGGAAAATTCTTAAAACTACATTTCATGACACAATAACAGTAATATTTTTTAAATTATGCAGGTTTTTGGGCAATGACGTTCCACAAGTACACATATTGAGAATCTATTGCTATTGCTATTGTCTGTATGAAAATATAAAATTATAAAATACACTGTTATATTTTTTTGTGTTTGTGCACTCTGATGTAAATAAGCCCAACACTCATGGACAGCAGAGCGGAATAGTGAAGGAGAAGCTTATCACCTTGTATCACGCAAAAGTGACGATTCTAGTCAACCAATCAACGTTCTGCAGTGAGTTTAGCTCCACCCTTTTGGTACCCTTTGCTGTGCTAGGTAACCCAACGGAAGGGTACCAAAAAAGTGGTACGGTACGGTACGGTTTGCTATTTTGGTACCATTCACAACTTCTGACAGTTCTGGAAACGGACATAATTGCGTACGGTACTGAAACGTACCACTCGTTGGAAACGAGCCATAACAGACTAAAATTCAAACATACAGTACTTGTACACTTCATACGTTCATTTATTAAAATTAAGAGACTGCAACCTTTTTGTTACACCATATTAATCTGTCATGAGAAACTAATTGTAATTTATTACTTTTCAAGTGCCTTTTAAACTCAAAACACAAAAAGTCATTATTTTGATTGAACACAAATTACAACTTGTGCATTTGCACCACAGTCACCACTAATATGCATCACAACTGTTTTTTAACATTAATAACCAGAAATTCTGAATAATAATAGTGATTTCTAAAGGATCATGTGATACTGAAGACTAGAATAATGGCTGGTGAAATTCAGCTTTGTCATCATAGGAATTAAAATATATTACATATACATACATTTATCAACAGAAAATAGTTATTTTAAATTGTAATATTTCACAATAGTACTGTTTTTACTGTATTTATAATCAAATAATGAAGCCTTGGTGAGCATAAGAGACTTTCAAAAACATTAAAACATTTTACCGACCCCAATGTTTTGAACATTAGCAATGAAGGAATGAAAATTCAAGGCAAATATCATCTGTGAACAATGTTTTATTGTGTGTCATGTTCAGTCAAGCTGTAATTTAGTCCAATTATGCAAAAAGCATGAAAATATATGTCATTGTGTATGTTTAGGATACACAGAATGTTGGAAATTAAATTAGCCTTGGCAAGACAAAAGAATCAGTCAGTTCAAAAATGTATAAAATGTCATTTCCACCTCATAATTATTCTATTAAACAATTTCACATGTGGTGCACATGATATATGTTGGCTAAAAATGACAGAATTCTGTATGGATATGCACTCTTGGAACAAATTAAATTAAATAAATGAAAACTGTATTAAAGGCAACATGGCCAAATATGCCTGTATTTGAAGAAGTACTTCTGAGTCTGGGGTCGGAACAGAGCAGAACACCACGTACTTAAAACAGTGAAGCTCAATAAATACTCTCTCACTGTCTCCAACCTCGCTTTCTCATAAAATGTCCATTCTACTTTCATTTACTCTCTCTTTCACACTCCATATACCTCTCTCCATCTACCATGAGCTTGGAGACTGTTATTATTTAAGTGTCTTGTCCACACAGCTCTGAGGGGACTAAATGGGCAGTTTGGTTCCGTTGATAAGAATGAGTCGGCTCTGGAGCCTTCCAGAAGATTCCAGGACATGGACGAGCATCGTGGCTCAACAACCAAACTGATTATCAAACTGCTGTTGTCATGAACTCTGGGAAATGCAGCTCCACATAAATGAGAAATGCTTGAGAAACCACACGCTCAGGCAGAAATACTGCTGACAGCCGTAATTTAACATGTCAAAGCGAACGTGTCAAATAACAAACTGCATATTTGCACATGCAACGCTATACAGTGCTGATTATAGCTTTTGTTTACCCTGAAGCATGAAGAGATGTTATGCCATTAGATCCTTAGGATCTGTACATTTGTAAATCAACACATTTATATTATATTTACTGTATATTACATCATATATATATATATATATATATACTTTACTGTGCATATATACATTATCTAATACACACATAACCATTGAAACATTTGGACTCTTTTTTTGAAAGAAGACCCTTAAGTGCACCAAGGCTGCAAACAGTAATATAAACAAAACAGTAAAATTGTGAAATATAATTAAAATTTAAAATGTAATAAAATTGTAATAATATTTTACTGTTTTTACAGTAATTTTGTTCAAATAAAAGCAACCTCAGTCACCTGTGTATCACCTATGTCTCAGTAATCCAGACTAAACACTGACACACAAACACAATGTATTGATTAAGCTATAAACTGCCAGTCGACTGCCACATGATAAGTGAGACGTAGCATCCAGACTGAGAGGCCTTTGTGCTGGAAGTCTGTAAACCGCACATGCACGCAAACACATGTACACACACACACACACATCACTACAACCAGATCAACAATAGCAACACAGAGAGTCGTCCATCAAACTGTGTTATCAGTAAACTGAGGCAGACGGACACAAAAGCCTCAGAGCCATGCTGTGCCAGGAATGAGGTGGCACTGCCTACTGCCTCAGCCAAACAAAAAGCACAGATAACACACAATACTGGACAACAGACACTTCAGCACTGAGATGCAGGAAGACAGACATTTTAGAACAAATGGACAGGAAGAGAGACTGAGAAAGACTTTAGCACAGAGGAGTAAAACTAAAGCACAGAGATCCAGGAACACAGACAATGACGTTGATGGAAAGCATTCTTTCAATGTACTACTAACCCATATTACCAGGTAAAGAGACACTTAAGCCCTATTCGCACGGGATTAGTATTATCTGGGGACCTTGTGTGATTTTGAAATTAACCCCCCACCTCTGAATTTCGTGTGGTGCATTCGCACGGGATAAGCGAAGCCTGTGATTTTACTGGAATTTACCGACTTATCTACCGGATACCCAGATGTCAAGGCTTTGAGAGTCCCGTTCTATGGTCCAGATGGATTAAAAAAAAATAAAAGAAATTAATATAGTTTCGTGCTCTGTGACATTTACATTTCACCAGGTTAAAATAGTATCTCAAGCTTTATGCTTGATTTATTTGTAACACATTAACCTCAAAACCTTTTCAGCCTTTTCTTTCTACAAATTGTATAGCGATATAACAGCACCCGAAATACTATCAAACACTCCAACGCAGCTCCATTCTTCGCAAAAGATGGATAAAAAAGAGCACAGGAAACAAAAACCTCGAAAAATGATATACGACCCGCCAAATGCTGGCCGAATCACAGAGATGCCTATGCGCACGGGACTAATATTATCACAGGACCTCAGTGTTCGGCGAAATATGGTAGGTCTTTTGCGGGGGAATTTTTACTTTACAAATTACAGACATGGCCGATTCACACGGGATTAAGATCGCAGACAACCTCCGCAATTATTACAAATGACTGGAGGTCACCAGGTAATACTAATCCCGTGCGAATAGGGCTTTAGTCATTATTTCAAGACTCACATTTTACTCACTAAAGGATATAAGGTAAGGATATTGGGGCTAAAGGCACACCTTTGCTACTCCCATAGTGTATGATAGCAAAAAAAAAAAGTTTTTTTTTTTTTTAACATTGATGGAGCAATTGCTTTGTTTAAAAATCTTATAAATGACAGTCTGCGGAAAAATGCACCCAATACTGATACAAATGCTATAGTAATAACACAGTCGCAGCTATTGCATAATATAGTACAGCTAAAGTAATATGTTTTGCATAATGTTTAAGGTAATACTTGTGCAAAACAATCACTTCAGCAAGGTTTCTACTATTTTCTTTTAATTTTTATCAAATTTATTTTTGTTCTATATATACATACATATATATATATACACACACACACACACACACACACACACAGTGGTGGCCAAAATTATTAGAATACTAATATTTTCAGCAGCTAAAAAATGGTTTTAAGTCAGTTTGTAATCATTTTATGGATTCTCATTCGCTACAAAATTCTACAAATTTAAAAAAACAATTATATTAGATCTGATTAGCGTACAATCAACTTCCAGGATTCAAGTTTTTCACAGTTATACAACAACATAGACCATCAGGATATATTTGCAAGGTCATATTGAAAAAGGAGGGTTTAATGTAAAGCTTTCAGCGTTTGAAAGGGCTGTTTAAACACCCTGGGCACTGGTCGTGTCAACAAAGCAGTTTCCGAGGTGACAAAAAAACTTTTGTCAAGGCTGTCAACGGTCACAGTGAGAAACATGTTCTCCAGCATCAACATATAATGATGTACAGCACACACAAACAGCCAAACCTCTTATTCCAATCCAGCAAACGAACAAATAAACAAGCCTACCATCATCAAGCACTGTCTAACCACGATAAACAGGACCAAATTTAAAAAACGAGATGCTAATTGAGATAATGATCACCAAATGAGAAGTAGCAACATCACGGATCTTTACCAATAATATACTGTAGTTAAAACTTTGTTTTCATGACAGTTTAAAGTTTCTAATGTACTTCTGCACAGGAAACTCAGCCACTGATTATAGAGACATGCTATATTATTATTAGCGGTGTCTGGCAAAAGATAAAACACCAAAAAAGCCACAGACTTACACTAGAGAAGAACTTGACAAAGAACCCATTTAAACACCCACAACCCCTTGTAATAGCAAGTCTTTCACAGGAAAGCACAACTCAAATTTACATCAGAAATATATATTCTTGTAATATACACTACCATGAAATAAATACTTTTATTCATCAAGATTGCATTCAATTGATCAAATGTGACAGTTAAAACATTTACAATTTTACAAAATATTTCTTTTTCATATAAATACTGTTCTTCAGAACTTTCTATAATCCTGAGAAAAAAAGTATCATGGTCTCCACAAAAAATATGAAGCAGCATGTTCTTAAAACTGATAATAAAAGAATGTTTTTGAGCAGTGAATCAGCATATTAGAATGATTTCTGAAGGATCATGTGACACTGAAGACAGGAGAAATAATGCTGAAAATTCAGTAAAATAAATTACATTTTAACATATATTAAAACAGAAAACAGTTATTTTAAATGGTAATAATATTTCACAATATTTCTGTTTTTACTGTATCAAATAAATGTAACCTTGGTTAGTAATTTCAAACTTTTGAGCGGTAGTGCTTACAGTATTTATTTAGCTCTAATACAACAACATCTTATTCGCTGCCTTATAATGATGTTTTGGCTTCATTAATTGTCGACCAGTTTGTAATGTTGAACTCGCAGAAGTCAAATTAATCTCCCATTTATGACCCAGACAAGCCAAAGTTACTAAGAATGCACTATTCACCCAAAGGCACAAACAACTGCTAAGTAGGCAGAAGTCTGTCTCCTCCCTAAACAGCAGAAGGAAATGAAATGACTAAATAGGCTTGTTGCACTGACCAAAACAGGAAACGCCATTAACTTTCCTCCCGAGTGGGAGTTTGTCATAATCTCATGCATTCTCTTTGAGTCTCTGTGCTTCTGCACCTGTGCTGTTCTTTCTCATCATCACAAAGAGAGATGTCTACTGCATCAGAGCCATCTGAACACAGCTGTCTCTGTCAGCGGCGGGGGTTTTTGAGGTGGACGTTCTGACTGATGGTCTATTCTGAAGCCACAGCTGATGTGGAACCTCATCCTATCATGTTCTTCAGCCAAAAATTAATATGTCTATTATTATGTCTTTCCAAACCCGTATGCAGTTGCACAAATAGATGTGTGGTACTTTTTTGGAGCTTGACTGTCGTGGTCACTCTGAACTGGCTTTATTTAGAGAAGAGTTACAAAGGACTTCTTCAAAATTTATTTTTTGATGACACAAAAAATAGCATATTGCTTTGGAATGACATGAGGGTGAGTAATGATGACAGAGGGGTTTGGTGGGGAGGGGTGAATTTCTTCATCAATCCTCACATGCTACCTCTCCCGCAGTTCTCGCACAAGTTGCATCATGTGTTGCGTCATGCCAGATGTCCACGAGATTGCAGAAATTATAATCTGGCCAAATCTCGGAAGTGAAAGGGCGTGTCATGTGCCTCACGCACCGTAAAACCGGCCTACACTTGTTAAATGCTTCATGCTGACTTCCAACATCCACTTACTTGTGGTCTAGCTTTTATATTATATCACATTGTTCACTACAGTGTTCAGTCAGTAATTCAGTGGTTCTAAACTGGTTTTGACCCACCCAGATTTTAAATCTTGTGACCCAACACAATACCAAAATATTTGTAAATACTATACTATACAAAATTACATCAAATGTCATACTAAACATAATATTGCTTATATTGAATTGTATGCATGTATATATATATATATATATATATATATATATATATATATAATTATTAGTATAACAAAAAGACGTAGCACTTAAAACAATTCAATAATCTTTTTTTATGTTCAACTGATTTTTTTACAGAAATTCATTTTTTACAATGTGTGTGTAAAAAAAAATTATATATATATATATTCATATATATACGTTATACTATATGTCATATAGAGAGAGAGGTTATATATATATATATATATATATAGAGAGAGAGAGAGAGATAGATAGATAGATATATGTGTGTGTGTGTGTGTGTGTTATATTATGTTATATATATAGAGAGAGAGAGAGAGAGAGAGAAGTATCCGATAAATACAAATCAATAAATTATTTAATAACATTCGTGTCATATATGCACCATTGATTGTAACACATTAAAAGAAAAGAAAATATTATTGCTGTAGTTGTTCATACAATTATGGGTGTAGCTACCTTATCTAGACCTTTAAAAAGGAAATGAACTCTACTTTGGGTGATATGGGGCAGTTTTCCATAGCAGGTTACACCCTTGACACTGAATAGATGTTTTTACACAGTATTGGTGTTGACTAACAAAGCCTGCTCTAACTCAAATATGACTGTATGTCACCAGTATTGTGGAAAGATCAGAGCAATGCTGCACAAAAAAGCCCACGAGCATGGTATCATGTGGAGACCCATATGGTGACGGAAATTACTAACGATTACTCCACTACACAAGCAGAGAGCCGCCAGAAACGATGCAATGACTCAAGATTAACTAAAGATTAATGAGTGGTACGATGCTTTTCAAAGGTTCACATCAGACTGGCCGCAGGCATTAGTGCACTACGGTCTAGACAAGCACAGCTTTTCCTTCAGAGTACACAAAAACCGACAGTTCACAGTCAGGTGCATGAGAAACTATTGTTGGTTTGGACTCAACTACAACATCAATACTATAGTTATTCATTGAAATATACTTAACCTTTGGAGTACTATATGAAAATGATACACTATATGCATATCTTGATTCTAAATTATACTATATTAATGTTATTTACAAAAACTGCCACCCTTACAAAACGTCCTTATTGCAGTACCATAGTATTACCATGTTTTATGAATATGTTCCAAGGTAAAATCCTGTTTTGTCCACATTTACCATGGTATTACTATGTATTTTACATTACTGTGATGCAATCGATGAATATAATAATCATTCATTACTATAATAGGGTATATATCAAAGTACCATGGTGCCACGTAAGATATGTAGTTCGCTGGCAATACACACTTAAAATATAACATAACAGATATTAAGTAATGCATGCAATACTATACCTTAATACCGAATTACTATATTAATCATGTATGTTATTTACAAAAACTGCCACCCTTACAAAAAGTACTTTGGCATGTTGCCATGTTTTATGAACATGTTTCAAAGTAAAATCATATTTATCCCATGGTAATACTATATATTTTACAATACTATGATGTTAGTAGATCAAAGTACCATGGTATTGCTATCATGGATGGAACTGGCAATACACACTCAATATATAATATAATAAGTATCAAGTAATGCATGCAATACTAAACACTCTGCATTATTAATCAGGCATGTAAGCACACAGTTAGTGTGATGTGAAGTGTGACCTTGTTCAGATGGGGTGCTCGTGCGTCTGCCGGTTTGGAGAGGCGTGTGCGCACGGCTGGATGAGACACAAGAACCCGTTTCACCGGGTCTTTCTCCTCGTGTGAACGTACCTGTGAAGTGCTGTAGGGTCGGTACCGTGCCCTGGACCCACAGGCTGAGCACTTGCTGCACCGATAGATTAATGGAATAATCCTTATTCATGTTCGCGCTGGGCGGCTGGAGCGCGGCCCTCTTGCTCAGAAATCTGACTGAGGATGGGGGACACATGGAGCCTCTTCACCGGTGCCGCTGCTCGCTGGAGGAGGATGGCGGAGCGGCGGTCCGTCTGATCAGCTGCTGCTCAGGGGCCATGATGGGTACGGCTGACACACACATACACATACACATACACATACACATACACTCTCTCTCACTCTCACTCACATACACACACACACGCTAGCGCTTCTGCATGGCTCTTAAAGGCGCAGCGCTCTTAAAGGGAGGTGAACGTCACATTCACATTACGACCAAATACAGCAGTTTATGAATGAATATCATATATTTAATTTATTCTGTATTGAATTTAGAATTAGAGAGAGGGAGTACAATTCTAAATTCAATTTATGCATGCTATAGTTTGTTAAACCAGATACTATAAAAATATAAATATATATTTGAATGTCAATGTATAATGTATATTATAATGTATAAATGTATATTTAAATGTCAATTACATATTTAATATTAAATAAATACTACTACTGATGATAACAATATTTTTAATTATGTGAAATTAATCATATTAATATATTGTTATTAATATTATTAATAATAATACTTTGTGCACAGTTTAAGTTAAACCAGATTCTATACAAAAAATGAATTTGTATATTTAAATATAAATTAAATATGTATTATTATTATTATTATTATTAATTGTGGTCATTTATGAAATGATAAATAATTTAATAATATTACAAATAAAACTATCATTTACGGCTATTAATATTATTGATAATAATGTTTTAATTAAGCATAGTTTAAATGTAACCAGAATATATATAAACTTTGAATTTGTATATTTAAATAGCTATTAAATATTTCATACTAAATAATAATTAATTGTAGTAATTTATGCAATATTAAATAATTTATTAATATTAATAATAAAACAATAAACTTTTATTGTTATTCATATTATTGATAATAAATATGTTTAGATTATGCTTGGTTTAAATTAATTCAGATTCTATATCAAATAATATGAATTTGTATATTTAAATATCAATTAAATATTTAATATTAAATAATGATGATGATGATGATGATGATGATGATTATTATTATTATCTAAATAACACATACCACATATAATTTAACCACAGAATGTTATTTAAATTGATCATCATAATTAAGTGGATTTTTTACAGTCACTGTTGAAACTGCACTAGAATATTTTCTGCTAGTCGCATCTGCTCTCACTGTTGCCCTGCTGAATGAGATAAGGTGTTGCTGTTCTGGAAAATTCCTGTGAAATAAAACAGATCCATTTTAGGACAGGGATCTGACAGGGTTTAAATTTAAATGTTGTCTAGGAAGCGTAGACATTAAGAAGGAATATTAATGTCTGAGCATTTCCTAAAGAAACTGAAGAAGCTTTCCTAAGCTCCTGCACTTTGTGGAAGAGATCATAAGCTTAAATATGTTCACATACATAATATTACATGAGCCAAAGCACTGAAATGTATCAAGCCAGAATGTGCCAACTATCAGAAAAATGCAACCTTAGATTAAATGTCTATTAATTCATCTGTAATATTGAACATAAAAGTCAAAAGAGCCACCCTTTGATTTTTATTTTATTTTAATTTTTTTTAGGACAATGAAGCAGGTTCCCAGAACAGGTTTACTGGACTCTGAAAAAAAAAAAATCTGAGCATGAACTAATGGGATTTTCAATGGGACAGTGACATAAGCAGAGCAGCTTCTGTTCCTCAAACACACACCCGGATAATTTTTCCACTATTTATCGGCCTGACATTTAAGCCTACGCTTGTTGTATTACCTTACAAACCCAAACCTCTCAGCTTCTGCTTTCTCATTGTAAACGCTCCATTGTAGAAGCAATATCAAATAATGGCAGTACAGCAGGTCACGTGAGGATACCACACCAAAGGACTGGATGAAATAGTCTGAAGGCAAACACCTGACAGTGGACCTTTTGTGAAGAAATCCCAGCTCCTCTAAAGGGCCAAAGGGTGTGTTTTTCCAAAGGCAGAAGGAATCATTCAGCTCCAAGAGCACTGTGGGACTGCACGTACACAAACTTAAAAGCGACAGAAATTAATTCAGGCATCACCGAGTAACGAGTATCAGTCACTCAGTTTTGTGCAAATAAAGAACAAAAAGTGCTTTGCAGCTAAATAAGATGTGGATATTGAAGTAATACCAAAGTAATACCATTCATTACTTGCATAATGTATTCATCATTTATCTTTAATGACACAGACAGTAATTTGGTCTTGGTCAGGTTAAGGGTACAAATTACCATAACAAACAACAATGTGATTTGCATATCACAAACACACCTCTCCCGTGTGGTTCCTTCAGCCTTGAATTTAATGAGGTATGCTGAAAGGCAAAATAAATAAACAACCATCATACTTTATTGTGATATTCCATGTGTCTTTCTGACACAATGAAAATTGCTTGTGGAAAATTCCATGTAGTAAAATAAGTTGTTATTTTTCACTGTATCCAGCAGATGGTGCTCTGAACTTGCATTGTACTGATTGACCCAGTAGTTTTCCAGTGTCCAACAGGTCTGTGTAATATCTGAGTACGTTTACTAGACTTGAAGCATCGTAGGTCATACGATAAAATACACCTTGAATTTAATGAGGTATGCTGAAAGGCAAAATAAATAAACAACCATCATACTTTATTGTGATATTCCATGTGTCTTTCTGACACAATGAAAATTGCTTGTGGAAAATTCCATGTAGTAAAATAAGTTGTTCTTTTTCACTGTATCCAGCAGATGGTGCTGTGAACTTGCATTGTACTGATTGACCCAGTAGTTTTCCAGTGTCCAACAGGTCTGTGTAATATCTGAGTACGTTTACTAGACTTAAAGCATCGTAGGTCATACGATAAAATACAAAGAATCAAATAGTCATTTTATATTTGAACAAACACCTTCATAAAGCTTCAATCAACTGTAATGTCTCTGGCTAATAGATACAATTATATATGTGTGTGTGTGTGTGTATTAAAAAATTGAATGTATATTCATAGAGTTATTCAAATGTAATGTTTCTATCTATCTATCTATCTAGAAATGTTATGTTTCATGTATTTGTGTGGTTGCAAATGTTTTTTGAGCAGTATGTGAAATGTGAAAATGCAAGCTCTCAGTCTGACTGTAAAAGCTCTCACCCTTTCATCAGAATGGCCTCAGGTGTGTAAATGTGAATGATTCTCGCAGCTGCTGCATCTAAATCTGTACATAATAGATATAATTATATATGTGTGTGTGTGTGTGTGTGTGTGTGTGTGTGTGTGTGTGTGTGTGTGTTAAAAAATTGAATGTATATTCATAGAGTTATTCAAATGTAATGTTTCTATCTATCTATCTATCTATCTAGAAATGTTATGTTTCATATATTTGTGTAGTTGCAAATGTTTTTTGAGCAGTATGTGAAATGTGAAAATGCAAGCTCTCAGTCTGACTGTAAAAGCTCTCACCCTTTCATCAGAATGGCCTCAGGTGTGTAAATGTGAATGATTCTCGCAGCTGCTGCATCTAAATCTGTACATGTGCATCGGTTGATGTTAGTGTGTAACTGAATCGAAGGGAGTGACATAGCTGGAAGCGTGCAATATCTATCTATTCATACTTTTTTTCTGGATCCTCACATTGTCTGTTTCTTGATCTCTTCAGGTGACTCACATTGTGTGCAGCTCATCTGAATATTACAGCTGTCAGAGTGACCCGATTCACTAGATTACAATCAAGTCCCAGCCACAGACCTCACTGAACAAATGCAACATGACACCCAGCCTATTCATCACCCTAAATTTCCCCTTTCATT